CTGGCCAGAGGGGTTTTCACCCTTGCCTCCTTGTGGGACTCTGTTTCCCTCTGCCACTGTGGCCAGTCCCCTTCCTCTGACCTGGGGAGAGTTTATATCTCAGTCAGCCATGCCCACTTGGTCAGCTGACTTGGCTTCCTGCTCCCTGCATACAGATGTGCTCAATCTCTTGTTCTCTTCCCTCTGCTGGTCCTGCTCAGCCCAGGCTAAACTTTGCAAGTGTGAGCCCCCAGCCTAAGGCTTGGCCTTATCACTTCTCTGTGTCCCTGTTCCCCCTCTATACTGCAAGCTGCTCACCCCTTCTGCCCAGCTGGGGCTTCCTTTGACAGCTGAAGTTTTCTCTGCCCCATTCATGCTGGCTGGGTCCCTCCTTACTCTAATCATCCTCTCTAAAGTATAAAGGTTCAGGGCTTTAAAGGAGCCCCACTGCCTTTCCTTCCCTGGCCCTTTTCTCTCCATAACAGGGCTAGGGTCCCCTGTTTCAGGAACACTCAGTTTGACAATAGAATATGTGTTAAACCAGAACTAGATTATGGGTTTATTGCTGCTTAGGTCCCGATCCTGCAAACATAAATTTGCTTAATTTTGATCTTGTCAGCAGTTTTATTGACTTCAACTGGTCACAAAGCCATTGACTAAATTACCTCATGCAGTGGTTGTGCATATTCTAATCCTTTTAAATTCACAAATAATGAACAAAAAATGCAAACTATCCGAATTACTGATTAGGCACTTGTCACCCTGGGAATACTTGCTTCTTCTTTCATTATCTTTCTATGTTCTATCAATCAGAAAAAATTGAAACGTGGCTATACGTACATCTTCTAAATCATTATAGAAACAATACTGTGATATACATTTCTGAAATTCTGAAAGATGTGAAGATATGGTGGCTTCTCAAATTAAAAGTAATCAGAGACTAGAGAAAGTCTACATCCTCTTTGTATACAATAACATGAAAAAGGAGAGATGGGAGATGGAAAGCAAAGTTACTGTGCCTTAAAGTGAAAGTGCTTCCCCCCAAAATTAAGATGCAGGTATAGACTTAGATTTCAGACTTTAGATTTCAGACCTTTAAAATCTGTTGCAAAACCCTTAATCCAAAAGCAATACATTTTACAAAGTAAGCGTACATGTAGGCAGTTTCCAGAGTTGTGGGGGTTTTCCTTCTCCACACCACCCCTTTGATAGAAACTATTTTAACTAATTTTTCTGGTGTTCTGCTGTTTCTTTGTTGTTTGATTATTGTAGAACTATAGTATGGTTGTAAAATATTATTCCTTTAGATTACTCGTATGTCTTAATCTCAACTCAATTAAATGAGTTTTTGCTGCTAAGAGATGCCTGCTTTTCCACAGCTGTTGGTATTGTTTTATATAGGTACAATCTCCTGATGTTGGCTTGCTACAGTTTCTTGAGAAACAAGAAAAACAGCCATCTCGATTAAAAAAAAAAAAATACTGTTGGACGCAGAAGGATGCCAATTTCTTAGTATTATTATAGCAAAAGATAAATTAACAGTTCATCAAAAGACGCATATATTCGTGTTTTATAGCAAAATATTTTTTATAAGTGTAAAGCAAAAGAAATCTATTTCATGAGATCAATAAATAGTGCTAATTATGCCTTTATAAAAATGAAAATTAATGTGTTATAGGTTTAGAAAATGGAATACCTGAGTAGGTCTGACTTGACCTCCAAGTAATATACAACAGAACATATATATAGCATGTAAGTGAAGCATCATTTGAATGGTATGGAAAAGTTACTATGTAGTTGTGTCCAAAATATCCTCAATAAATTGCATCCTAAACAGACTTGTGTATAAAACATACATATTGTAACTTATAAATGGAATATAAAATATGAAGAAAGAATCTAGATAATGAAATCAAATGTTGTTTCTTCCCTCACTCCTTAGTCTATAAACCAACTCTATCAGACTTCAGTCTCCTTAGGGACCTGGCCTGTATCAACAAAAAGATCTTTTATACTTTGAGTGCTAATATGGCCGAAAGAGAGACATTTTTGCTGTGAATTTTTGCCAGATGTGCGTGAGCTTTAATACTATTGAGAAGTATATCACAAATGTAATATTAACGAACTCATCTACTAAATACAGCTAGCTTGCATGTTTTAATATGTGTTGTTAAGATATGGCTCAGTAGGGATATGGTATGTAGTGAAGAAATTGTTGTTCTGGCATTTCTAGGAAGGCCTATGATGGAGAAGAATGTAAATTTCCTATTTTCCATCTGTACCACCTCTCATTTTGAAAGAGTAGTAGTTAGAGGGAAACAGCTGCACATCTTTATTTTAATTTACATTACCTTTCTATTTAAGGTACAAAATATAATTTATTGCAAACTGAAACTGGGTAGTCTACCAAGAAAATTCAGCTTGCCTCTCAGATATAACATTTAGGCTGTGGGCAGATGTTACATTTGTAGCACTACCAAAAGCAAGTGTATAGACCTGTACACTGTCTGTAACATTACAGAAATGACACATCTTCCACCAAAACATTTCTGCTTTGAAGAAGAACTTAAGTGGGGCATTTTTGTAGTGCCACATGGAACATTTGTGTAGTTAGATGTAGTACTACAGGAGGACTGTCAGCCCTGCAGCATCCCTCAACTCGCCCTAGCCCCCTCTAAGTCAGGGGAGGGGGGCAAGGAGAGCTGATGCCTCTTGGCAAGCTGTGAAAGAGCTCTGCTGGTACCCTGCAGTTCTTGCCACTACTCCCAGAACACCAGCATCTTACTGAGGTGTAGGTTGTAGCCGTGTTGGTCTAAGGACATAAGATAGAATAATTATATTCCAGCTATTTGGGTTGGTCTAATAAAAGGTATCAGATTCACCCAAGGAACCTTGTCTGCCTGGCATCTTACTGATGCACTAACTGCAGCTGCCACCATGGGGAGGGAGAACTGTCTTCGACCGCCTTTTTTCCAGTACTGGGACTGGGAGAAAAGAGGAGGTAGCAGCTGTCAAAAATAGCTTTCAGTCTACGTGTAAGTTATTGGAGCAAGTTATTCTCATCTCCACCAGCCTTTAAGTAACTGGAGGGATGGCTTTCTGCCATGGCTGCCTCCATCTAATGCAAGTAGTGGCATCAGTTTGAGGCAACCTTTCTTTCAAGGGAGTAGGGGATCAAGTGAAGATCAAATCAGTAGTCCACTATCACCCCCTGACTGAAGAGTGTGGCTCTGTCAATCCCTAGCCAGGGTGCTGTGCAGTTATATACCCCTCCATAGTATGTAGTAGCTCTACAAATGCATATCTGTTCACGGCCTTGGTCAAAACCCAGGTCCTCAGAGATGTCCAGGTTATCTGAAGTATGATGGATGGAATTCTAGAATGAAAAGAAATCTGTTCAGTGATTTAAGTAGGGTTGGGGTGTTGCGGTAGCTGTGATAGTCCAGGAAATGTCAAGAGAAGGTTTTTTGTGATATCTTTCTTTGGATGAGTGTTACAGTTGGGAGAGGTGTTGACAACAGCTTTTGGACAACAGCCCTCTCACCTGTGCTGCTGGTACAAAAAAGATATCACAAAAAATCTTTGCCTCCTTTCAGTGATATAACTATTTTACCATCTGATTACATCATTCTATGCCCAGCTCTTTATACCTTCTCTATTTAATTGCTTGCTCTTGTGTTTTCTCAGCATTCATAAAGAAATTCAGTATCTTAACCACACTAGTCAGTTTTGTAGACAAGTGGACCTTTGACCCTGTTTTGGGGGTTTAATGCATAGTAATCCATGTTCGCTTGATGTATATGAGCAAAAAAGCTATGTTGCATTTTCCTTTCTTTTTCTATATCTAGGTATATATAATTTTGAAGGTGGGTGGGGAAGAAGCAGATTTCTAAAAGTTTTTTTTTTCTCCATGCAAAAAAGAGAAGAGATTGGCAGTATGGTTTCCGACTAATTTTGGTTTCTGACATTTTACTTATACAGTATGTCAGAGAATACTGTGCCTGCATAAACACCCATAGTGGGTACCTGCATTACTATTTTAATGCCTATTTCAGTGTGAAAGACAGCAGCCAACAAAGCATGAACGCTTGTTTAGGTCCTTAAAGCTGCACTGCTATTCCTTGTTTTCAGTTTTGTCATCCGCAGGATGTAAATAGTTTACCAGGACTAGAAACTCCCCTCAAATATATTATCTTTATTCCCAACAAATATATTCATTATGGTTCTTTTCCTCCCATGTGTTTTGTTTTTAGTTGACATTTTCAGAATTATCTGATATTTTCCAGGACAAACCATGTCTTTTTCCTGAATGCGCATATAATGGCTCATGCATTTTGGAAGTTTTTAGTTGATTCAGGGTTAAGTTTCACAAAAAAGAAAATAATATGTACATGGGAGTTTTGAAACAGTATTGTTTAGGGGAGGAACTGAAGAGAACAAGGGAAGTGAATATAAAAACTGTACCTCTTTCTTTTCACTGACTTCAAAGTATTTACTTCTGGCTTACATTAGATTGTGTGAAGAATCAGGTCATGTCTCCGCTATTTTAACTGTATCATGTAAACAGTTAGCAGAACGAGTAAGTTGAATACCAAAATAAAGAATTTGGCATGGAAATGTTTGCAGATGAATGCTTTACCTCCTGTATACGTTGGTTTGGGTTTTGTTGCATCTAACTTTAGGCACATACAACTGGATGAACTCAATGTTTTTAGTCCTGTTTTTGATTTCTCCTTTTTATTATATATTTAATAGTACTTAGGCATAGGGAGATTAATATGCATTTGACTATATGGAAACAAATTATTTATGATAAACAATAATACTGTAAATTTTATAGAGCTAAGTAGGCTACAGTTGTAACTCTCAATCTCTTATTCTGTTTTATTTGAAAGCAAGCAAAAATTCCCTTGATATAGTTTTATATTTGCTTTGAATATATATTTTCTTTTGGGTCTGTGTTGTTGATTTGCCAAAGTACTTTCTTCTTCTCTTGCTCACATATGCATACTTCATTATAGGTCAGTTTCTCCTAGAAGAGTCCCGCTTGATAGAAGCAGCTGAGATGGCAAAGAAAGCAGCTGAGCTGGATAACACAGAGTTTGATGTTGTTTTCAATGCAGCACACATGCTCAGGTTAGTTCTTTATCTCTATCTTGTCTGTTTTTCTTTCTCACCTGTAAGGGAAAAAATTCCTATCTAATTTTCCAGGCATAGAATCGAATTATTGGAGGTTTTTCTTGATTTTTGTCCCTGTCCCTCTGCTACAACAGGGAAAATAAACTGCAGGGGGGAAGGTGGCATCCTTGCCCTCTGCTCCTTCAGCTTCTTCCCCCTGCAGCCCTTCTGTATCCCTGACTGTCAAACCCCACTCTCCCTGAGCACATGGAAATGAGGGAAAAATTTGAAAACACTGATAGATGATACATGGAAATGAGGGAAAAATTTGAAAACACTGATTAATGATACATTTCCCCCCCCGCCTTTTTTTTTTTTTTTTTTACTGATGCAAATTTTAGAACAGGTATTACACTGTTAAGCAGCAATTTTGTACTTACTTATAGTGAGTACAAACTTCACATAATATTAGTTGAAAGTCAAGAAGCTCATGATATACCACACAGTTCATTGGGCTGGACTCCACCAGAGTCGAGAGCTTTTCAAGCCATTGTTACCCCACCACTGAGCACTGCTCAGTGTATGTGTACTCCAAAAACCACCCTCCCAAAAGATTCATGTGCTAACTAGCCCCCCACTCGTGACTGGAACTAGGTTTTCTTCTCATGAGTCCTAGGATCTCCCAAAACGTATATATAGATGAAGCACAGGGCAACCTGTTCTGGTTCCACCTCATAAACGGTGGGGCCACACTAATCATATGCGGCAGGCTGACACAGGGGCAACAGAAGAATTCTGGGGAACTGTTTGGAGCCCTGCTTGCTGATGTTTGCCAGATATTTAAGACTGGTGAAGAAACAGGAATCAATGGAAATGGGAAAGAAAGGTGCTGTTCAGCTGTGGAAGTGAAGCAGTTGAAATGTATGCAATGTAGTGGCTCAATATGATTTGAAAAAGAATTGGCATAGAGGGGGACTGAGTACAATAGGTACTACCATATATTTTTTTCAAAGGAGCTTTACTAATTTACTATTATTACTTCCCATCAGTCTGTTTGCCCCATATGGGCCAAGTGTTTCATAGTCTTGCTCAGTGTTGGATGCATTGATTCGATCTCATTGTTGACTTCAATTACTGAGCACATGCTGCTTTTGGCAGCAGTTTAATGAGAGACAATGTATATTATATGATTTCCTTGTATACAATTTTAGGATGAAGACCTTTTTTCCTCATAATGTTTGGAGGAAAAAATCTTATATTTGAGTAAATATGGTAAATACTCTGTACCATGTACTTAAAAAGAGGGACAGTGAGAGAACACTATGTGATTTAGTTACAGCTAGCTTTAAAAAAAATGGACATTTTTACATGTGGTTCTGATGTGGCTCCGGGTACTTTTAACTAGCAAGCCATGCTAAGTAAACATGCCTGTACATCATGAGTATCAGTGGCACAGTGTGCCTCTGTGCTGAGAAAATGGCGGTGGAGCGCTTTGAACTAAAGCACATTGAATGTGTTTTAGTTCAAAGTGCACTGCTGCCATTTTCTCATTGCAGAGTCACCCTGCACTGCTGATTATGCATGAGGCTGCCAGAGCATGTCAATTTATGTGCTCCAGCAGACTTGATTAATTGAGTCTACTCCAATGTGCTGGATTTCCAGCACATCGGAGCAGGCTCCCCACATGTGTGTAAGTGCCCTATGTTTCTACCTACAACATACACAGAAAACAACAACCAATCACTGGTGTTTAACAATTCTGGAGGAAGTGAGTTTTTGGGGTGAAAAAGGATGATAGACCTGAAATAGTTCTAGGACTAGTTTGAAGCTAGTTATAAGAATGTACATGGGTGAAAGTGAGAAGGTTATGGAGTGAGTGGTAATATTGGCTTACTGAGGGGAATGAAAGTGGCCAGATGGAGCAGAACAAGAGACCAAAATGTAGATAAGTGCTCTGTTGTGCTGAGCCATGAAAGCAAAATTGGGAATCTTAAACATCATAGTAGGTAGCCAGTGGGCCTGGATAGCTGTAAGACAGAAAACATATTAGAGGAATTAACCAGGTGTGGAAAATTGTTTAGCCGTGACAACAGAGGGAAAAAAGAATGGCTTAAAAAAAATACACTATGGATTTAGAAGAAGCTAGGAGTTGGTGTTAGCCTGGATATAGAGCAACAAGGTTAAAATGACAAGAAAGTAATGCCAGCAATAACATTCCTGATCAGAAATGAATTTTGTGACTGCAAACATATAAAATGACTTTACAGGAGGGAGTAGTAATTTTGCTTTCTAAAGTTATGTTTATTTTTAGTAACCTGTTTTGCACCCTTTTTTCCCAAGCATTTGCTCAGAGTAGAATAAATGTTAAACTAAAAAAACTGTTTGTGCCTTTGCACAATACAGATATTCTTACAGAAAAGGAATAATTGGCAATTGAATGAACCCTCAGAGTTGCTCTTTCTGCTCATAAAAGAGCCATGTGTGATCCAAATCCTGCTTTCTAGACTCTCAGAATCCCAACATATCTGACAGATGACACTCTTGTCAATGAGGAAAGCAAGACTTGAGAAATGCTCCTAAGCAATAATGTAACTTGGCAAGGACAGCGGGTAAACTGGTCACCAGTCCCAAGTGCCAATTTAGTAGGGGTGCCAAAATGGTGGTCTAGGCAGTAGTAGCCCCATACCACTGCTCTTGTAGTACCAGCTGGGTGCATGGATGTTGCACTGCTGCCGTGGCAGCAATAGTAGGTGTGGGAAGATCACGCCAAGGCAGCTGAAGCTAGGGACTTTTCTCAAGTCTGCAAAGTGGGTAAGAATGCACCTTCTGTTATTCACTCAGCAGCAGCACCACCTGATCCCTGTTCTCCAGCAGGGTTTGCCCAGGATGCAAATCCTTTTAGTTAAGACTCTGCTCCTACACTATCACTCATGTCAATATTGATTTAGGAAACTTGGTTTACTTTTAATTGCATAAATCAGTGAGCTCAATACTGAATTGCACCGCTTAACATTCTGTATAGGTTTAAATACTGTTCTAATGAAAGACAATAATATACACTCAAATGGTTACTGAAAAAAAAGTATTATTTAAGCTGCCAAGAAATAAACTAGGTGAAGGGAAATTCCATATATTCCCTTAATAATAATAAGCCAGATTGCAGGCCTCCAAGTTGCAATGAATAGCTAGCAGCTATTCCATAACCAGCTTGATATTTCCTAACAAAGACCATGAACCTGCATTAACTCTATTATTATGTGGTGAGATTACTTGTATTCAGTGGCAGATGTCTGCTGGAGTTCAATGCAGGCTCAATGGTAGTCACAGACCTTGCTGTAGGTGAGCATATAGCAGCCTGTATGCTGCTAAGAAAACTGACCCTGAGACATGTAAAACTTCAACTCAGGGAAGTCTAGTCTGACATTTCTGCTAGCAACTGAAAATAGGGAATTATGATGGAAGGTGTGAGTGTGACATTGTTGCCCTGTGGGGCTCAGGCCAACTCTCAGGATCTCAATATTGTGCTGTTAGACAGGAGGTTAGACTGTTATGCTGTTAGACAGTATGTGCACAATTGCACATACACAAAACACACACAAATCAATTAGGTGCATACACACATACACTACCAACTCAGGCACATACACATCCAAACGAGCCTAGGCACATGCATACTTATCACCAATTCAAGCACATACACTATACACCTCAAAACTTAGACTCGGATCACTAATTCGTATATCATGCATACAATGCCATACACATGCACGCACGCACGCACGCACACACACTAGCAACTCAGATACACACATGTTCAAAATAACCAGTCTTGGTTCATCCACACCTATCACCAGTTTAAGCCCATACATGCTACACACACCAAAATTAGACAGAATCAGTTACCAGTTACCGACACCTGCACATCTAATACACATACGTGGATTACTAATTCATATACCCCCCTCCACACAAAATGATATCTATATATGTGTATTCACTAATTTACACACATACCACCCACCTACACATACACACAGGTGAGTTCCTAAGTTGAATGTTGTGATGTGTGTGTATGTATGTATGTGCTTGGTGTATGTGGGATACCTGGGGAAAGGTTAAGATAAGAAAGTAGAAGTGTAGGGAGTTAAAGTTACCAGGAAATGAAAGTCACCGGGACTGGGATTAGAACTGGTAGACTAGAGGGGCCTGGGCTGAAGAACTGATGCTCGGGGGTAACTTTAGGTTAATTGATCTTAATTGATTAAAAGACAACACGCAAAGCCTGCAGAACAGGGAAGCATGCCGGACTGGAGTCAGAGCTATGAGGGAGCTGAAAAGGTAGGTGGGGAGAGGGAAAATGGGACTAAGGGAAAGTGTGGGTGTTAAAGAGGGGCTGTGGGTATGGGGAGCCAGAGGATGGCTCCAGGGCAGCTAAAGAAGTTGCAGGGAGCAACAGTAGATGCTGGAAGCTGGAGAAAGGCTCCAGCTGCTGGAGAAAACTGCAGGACAGCTAAGAGGAGCTGGGAAGCTGCAGGAGTGGGGGGAGGATTACAGAAGGTGCGGGGGAAGCCTGAAAACAGAGAGATGGACAGCAGAAAATCACAGGAAAAGCAGCAGGTGGCAGAGCAGCAGGAAAGCAAAGAAAGGCAGCAGAAAGTCACAGGGAAAAGGCAGTAGGAGCAGGGGAGGCTGAGAGACAGCAGGGATCGGGTGCATCTGGATCACAGCATTGAAGCCATGCCCTTGTCCCACATTGGCAGTGGCTGGCATTGTTGCCCTGGGGTGTCAGGCCAACTCTCAGGATCTCAATATTGCGCTGTTAGACAGGAGGGTGTGACACAATTGCACATATACAAAAAACACAAATCAATTAGGTGCATACACATGCACACTACCAGCTCAGGCACATACACATCCAAACCAGCCTAGGCACATGCATACTTATCACCAATTCAAGCACATACACTATACACCCCAAAAGTTAGACACAGATCACTAATTCGTATATCATGCACACA